TAAGACTACAGCCCCCTGCTCTCCAACAACCTTCATGTACGGGGCACTGGGGGGGTGGGGTTGCAGTCGGACCTTCTGGGTATTCACCAACAGTTTATGACTGAAGGACCAGGTGTGTTTATGTCCATGAAAGGTTTGTGTGTCCCACTGTGCTCAAGTGAGGCTATGTGAGAGTGGATTATCCAGGTGGCAAATCCAAAGCAGTGAAAGGGAAATGTGAGGTGATTGATTAAGGCAACAAACAGAACAACTGTGGGGATGGGCCTTGGTAACTGCACTAACTACAACAGCCCTACAAGAGGGGTTAATTTTGCAGCAATAGCAACACAAAGGGCACAATACACAGCACACCAGGGGATTCTGTCATACCTCCCCAAGAGGTGAAAGTCAGGATATCTCAGCCAAGGAGGCAACTCTACCTGGGGGAAGAAGAGAGGATCAGGCTATGGACCCATCCCAGGGGAGCGGCTCCTCTTGCCTCAAACCAAGGATGGAAGAAATAATTTATTGCCTTTTGATGAGATGGGACTTGGGTCATAACGAGTGTATCAGATAGCTATTTACAGACTAATAATATGTATTCATTAGGAATAAGGTAAGAGAGACACTCAATGTTGTGGAGCCTTCGCTGCACTTAATAAGTCATGCTCAGTCCACCCTGTAGCCATGAGAGACCTGGGAGTGAGACCAAATAGACAAGGACAGGATGCATCCCTTTCTGCCAGCCAGGCCTGTCCTCCCCACCCCACACCAACTTGCCTACTTGTCTGGTCCAAGGCCCAAGGCCCAGCTGAGCACTGCTCACCTCACACTCCTCTGCACAGCTCCTGCCATGAAAGTTTACACAAAGCAAATACAGGTTCTGTTTTCCCAGCTCTAAAACGAGCCTCAAGTTAGTCTTCTGAGTGTGTCCCAATTTTTCAGCCACCACAGTTGAACATGGAAAGGCAGAGAACAATTCCTGAGTCTAAATCTCCCCAAAACAGCATCCTACAGGACAAAGGCGTTTTTGCTTCTTATCTTCCAAGAAGCAGCATCACCTAAAAATGACCCAATCCCACCTTGTTACCTCCTCCTTTTCCTTGCAAATCCCATCACGAACTCACCCTAAAACACTCCTTATGGGTATTTCCCCCCTTCAAAAAACAGCCGGGGACCCTCCCGCCACATGCGCTTTGTCTCTTGACTAGGGTGTCACCATGATAAAGACTTTATTTTCATCTCATTTGGGAAATACAGAGACCTTGACCATGCCCCTTCAGTCTTGGTGATCCCTGAGATGCATCTGGCCACGATGGATGAGATCTGCTCTCTGGTAAAGCC